TTTATCATTATCATTATCACCATTGCTAACGTTATCATTATCATCATATCATTATAATTATTATTAAATTATTAGTATCCTTATCATCACCATCATTATCATTGTCATCATCTTTATCATTTGCATTGGCATTAGCATTAGCATTGTTATTACTATTACTAGCATTATCATTGTTATCATTATTATCATTATTATCAACATTATTATTATTATCAGTATCATCAACATTATCATTATTATTGTAATAATAACAAAACATATCAGTCATTATCATATTAATTATTATCAGTGTCATTAGTATTATTGTTATTATCATTATCATTGTTATTATCATTATTATCATTATTATTATTATTATTATTATAATTATTATTATTATTATCCTTATTACCGTATTATTGTTATTACTATTATCATTATCGTTATTATCATTATTGTCATTATCATAGAAATTATTATCATTGTCATTATCATCATCATCATCATCATTATCATTATCATCATTATTGTTCATTATCATTATTTTTAATTATTATCATTATTATCATTATCATTTTCATTATCATTATTATCATTATTATTATTATTATTATTATTATTATTATTATCATTATCATCATCATCATCATCATCATCATCATCATCATCATCATCATCATCATCATCATCATCATCATTATTATCATCATCGCCATTATAATTATTATTAATATTAACATTACTATTAGTAGTAGTAGTAGTATTGATATAATTACCATCATTAGTGTTATTGTTATTATGGTTATTATAATTATTATCATTATTATTATTGTTATTATTTTTATTATTATTATTATTATTATTATTATTATTATTATTATTATTATTTTATTTTATTATTATTATTATTATTATTATTATTATTATTATCATATTATTATTATTATTATTATTATTATCATTATCATTATCATCATCGTTATTATTATTTATTATTATTATTATTATTATATTATTATTATTATTATTATTATTATTATTATTATTATATCATTATCATTATCATTATTTATTATTATTATTATTATTAATTATTATTTATTTATTATTATATTATTATTATTATTATTATTATCATTATTATTATTATTATTATTATTATTATTATTATTATTATTATTTATTAATTATTATCATTATTATTATTATATTATTATTATTTATTATTTATTATTATTATTATTATCATTATTATTATTATTATTATTATTATTATTATTATTATATTATTATTATTATTTATTATTATTATTATTATTATTATTATTATTATTATTATTATTATTATTATTATTATTATTATTATTATTATTATCATTATTATTATTATTATTATTTATTATCATTATCATTATCATTATCATTATCATTATATTATTATTATTATTATTATTTATTATTATTATTATTATTATTATTATTATTATTATTATTTTATTATTATTATTATCATTATCATTATTATCATTATTATTATTATTATTATTATTATTATTATTATTATTATTATTATTATTATTATTATTATCATTATTATCATTATTACTTTTATTATTGTTATCATCATCATTACTACTACTACGACTACCACCACCACTACTACTACTACTGCTATTTTGAGTACCATTACACACTTAGGCCCCAAACACCTTCCTAAGAGTCCTTGCAATTCCTAGCAGGACAGCTTTCTGTAAAAACCCTGTCCATATCTGAGAACCAATTCGTTCAATCAAAGTTTATGAATTACAAGTGACCATACCCAACGCTCCTACCACCTCGGGTATCACCTTTGCTTTCACCTTCCACAATCTCAAGAGCTCGACCTTCAAGCCCTGATAACCCTGAATCTTCTCTTTCTCCTCCTTATCACCGAGACAGCTTAGTCTATTATCAGGCAATCCAATGAAGTCTTGTCTACTACAACAATGTCTGGGCGCCTCGCCTTAATTCCATGATCAATTTGTATCATGAAATTCCATAACTGTTTCTGGTGTGTTCTCGTACCATTTCGAAGCGTAAGGGAATTCATACTTTTTGCAGAACTCCACCATTTTTCCTGTTGATGTATATCCGTTCAACATAATCCTTTGGGTGTAATTCTCTCTACATAATTTTTTCCTGGTTTCACGACTCATGTTTTGCAGTTCTTCCTGTTCATCACACCTATCATATTTCTGCCAATAAGTTTCGGCTTCAACACTTCTCAGTCGCCTGAAGTATTACGTTGTAAATCATTCCTTCATTACATTACTCTCAATGGTATCCAGCTCTAATATTGGTATCCAGCTCCTGATTCCGAGATACGTTTACACTTCCTGGTCTAAACTTCAAAACCTCCCTATTTAGAAGCGAAATTCACTCCAAATTCTTCAAATTGTCACGGTTCACAATGACTACCCCAAACTTTCTAATCTCAAATTCCATGTAAATATCAGTACTAACCAGATATACAGTTTGTGTAAGCCACTCGATATCGGCTCGATTTTCCCAAATAATTCACGTCAATAATTCATGGCCAACATTCATCTTCCTCAAAATCAAGGTCATTTGTATGAGGCAGATCACAAACAAATGAGATGAGAGGTTATCTCCTAGGCATACGTATCTTCATATTACAATCTATCTTAACTCCTGTTCAGCAGAAGTTAATTGTCTTCCACTTGTCCATAATTTGTTCATTGGTGTTGATAGTTCCATGTACTTTTTAATCCACGAATGCGGAACCTTATCTCAAGCTTTACGATAGTCGATACAAGCCATCACTAAGTTGGTATGCATTTTCTTATCGTCCGTAAGGACCATTTTATCAGTGAGAAGCTGGAACTTGGTTTCTCTCAACTTCCTTTGACATCCCTTCTTCTCAACTAGGAAAATGCCAATCGTTTTCATATAAGAATAGATCTCTTCAGTTAAAGCACCAGTAAAAAGCTTCCACATGACAAGGAGACAAGATATAGGAAGTATTTGTCCACGATATGCCCCTTAGTGGGATCCTTCAACCGTAGTGCAGTTCTCCCGTCTGTAAAGGTTCATTTAACTATACCACTATTCTTTCATGTAATGGGCACAGATACATAATCCAGTACCCTTGGGATCGGGAACTTTCAATGCGGGACTTTCTAAACTATTTTTCAGCTTGTCTATCTACATCTACCATTATTACATTTTTACTTCATTATTTTTATTATTGTTATCATTATTCTCATTATCATTATTATCGTTATTATTATCATTATTATTATTATCATTGCAATTGTTATTATAATCTTTACTATTACTAGGATCATGATTATCATTATTATTATCATTGTCATTGTTTTTGACATTGCCATTATCGATATCATTATTATCATCATTATTACTATTATTATTATTAGCATGATAATGAGTATGATGATGGTAAAGATGATAATGACAGTAATGATTATAAGAATGATAATAATGATAATGATAATGATGACTATAATGATAAAGTAATAATGATAATGCATCACTTGACGTTATCCTAAAATGTGAATTGCAAAAAATTTTATTAATAGGAGGGAAACTTAATTCCAGTAATTCATATTCCAAAAATTTCAAGCAGTTCTTCAATCCTCATGTTTTATTTTTACTAAATTAAGAGCATATTTCTTTTCACACAGCGATGCGTAACCCATATCAAAGGAATTTTCGATTCACCAGTAAAATGTCTAACAATGTCAATTACTTCGAAAGGTCCTTATTAAAGACTTTCACACTCGAGCCAAAGGAAGGAAATCGTTTGGCTTATCCTGTTTTGGTCATCAACTGCTTAACGGAGGATTCTTGTAGTTTTGTGTGAAGATTAAGTTGTCTTGTCTTACATGTAGTGGTAATTCAAACAACATTTAGTTCTACGTAAAAACGTTTTATTAGCAGTGGCACGAATGCTGCCCAGTACTACAGTCTGCAATACATCTGGAAGAACTACAAGCCAGTATGTAATATATGCATGTTATGTGAGCTGGCTAGACAGATCAAAGATATAAAATTCTGTACAATATGATACAGTTATCTGCATCTCATCATGAGAAAAAAGAAAGTAGAACTCAGTGCTACTGTTATCTTTGGGTTAAAATATAAATGTTCATCTGCCATATGGAGCAAATGAACAAATAGTTTATGCGAAATACAGAAGAGATAAAAGCACCATAATGGATTATTTGACTCAGGTGGTGTTTCACGATATCTTTTGTCAAAAAAAGCACTGCATAATTAAGATACTAATAAAAAATATGCAACGACCATCATTGACATTTTAAGACGTAAATATCAACATACCCGAATATCCACGGGTATTTTCCTAAATTAATCATTTCAAAATATTCATGTATTTGCACAATCTTCCAATTCCCATTCTAAGAATACTAATAAAGACTGACATTTCTGCAGAGAAACCCTCTTCTTGGCAGCAGGATAGAGCTTTTGAGATTTTGTATGATAAATTAATGAAGAATATTTTAGTTAATGAAGTCATGGAATTCAAGACAAAAAAAGAAAGACAAAAATACCTATAATATATATTGTGTATATATATATTATAATATATATATATATATATATATATATATATATATATATATATATATATATATATATATATATCAAATATATATATGTATGTATGTATAAACTGCATATACGAATAGAGGGATCCTGTTTACCATACAAATCATAGAATAAAAGTGTTATAGTATCTTAGCTCTACTTACTACAGACAAGCCAGAGGTTTAGTCTGCAATAATTCACTCAATATTTTATCTTAACCAATATGACCTGAACTACAGATGGCAGTGCAGCAGAAGCTAGCTTCTTAGAACTACCAAAAGCTTTTTCTTAAAGCATAATGGCATGAAAGTATCAAAATCAAGTTTCATTTACTTCAAAGTTTACTTATTTACTTATCTTATACATGGTTATTGATGATAAATGTTAGGCCAAAAAAGAACTTAATATCACCTGCTTTTTATACAAAACGTATTAGTAATGGAAAAATTAAAAGTTCAGACACTTATACTCATACATTTTCCTTTACGCCGAAAGTGATGGATCCCACGCAGACAACCGTTTGTCATGAATATTAATTATGAAAAGAAAGTGAATTATACAATTTGGGCGTTTAATAGAAATAACTTAGCAAAGCAAAGTATTTAGAGAATGACAGAGTATAAAAAAATTGCAAATCGGCACTGTATGTAGAAATTTAGGTTACAATAACTGTTTGCAGTAACCAAACTCATTTTGATATCATATTACCTGCACTTTGAGCTGAAATAACACAGTGGATGAGAATATGCTGTTTTCGTGTATGACAATATGTAAACCGCATGGAACATGACAAATGGAAGTATGATGAATGACGAGTGAACATCATGATATTTGATGTAGAGATTTTCATGTTGATGTCTCGCTCCCTGTTACTTGTCCCCACTAATTCGCCGAGACCCGCACTGGCAGCAGAACTTCGCCATAAGGACCGGGTACTTGTGACCGCACTCGTGGCAGAACCTCGGCATTCCCATGGACGACGACGCACTATCTGGCTTACCCATGCCAGCCGGGGACGCGGAGCTGGACGGGGACGACAGCGGGGGCAAGGAGGAATCCGACGACGACCCACTCGACACCCGCATCTGGGCATCGTTCTCGCTGAAAGGGGACATCGCAGGTTTAGTTGGTGGGGTGCGATGACTGGAGGGAGGCAGTTTATTATGCCTTATTGCGACGGTTAACTAACTTTGTCATTGAAGATTAATTTATATAACATTTGGGGTTATTTGATAAACATTTTACTTGTGCATTTGTTTCAATAAAAAACAAAGATCATGAAGCTACAAATAAACCTATCATTGAAAAGAGGGCCAAACACTCAGAAAATGCAATGATCCAATAGTTAAGTTCAAATTTCCCTATTTCATATATTCAACAACCAAATACTAATAAAATCCGCAACGATTTTTCTGCAATACACACCCATCAAATGATTTCTTATCAGGGTCTGGACTGCAGTCATTGGAAGTACTATTTGCTCTATAAGTCTCAAATCCTGAAGACTTGCTTATGCTGTCACTATAAGAAGCTCGGCCAGAGTGCCCCGCCGAATCCAATGATGACAAGAGCCCCCTTGGATTGGCCGACGAACTCGTGGATGAGCCGCTCAAGTACCGATTGTATGTGCTACTGTGGGTCCCCAGGCCGCTGGAGGTGTCCGCACTCCAGCCTGAAGACGTCTCGCTGTTCCCTGTGTCTCTCCATCTGTCACGAGATCAACAATAAGACATGCTGGCCTATTCAAAGCGTCTGTATACAGCATCATGATGTCATAGAAGTTCGACGATCTTATGTTTATTATTCAAGGGGACCATCCTTGGACTAAAATTTTGTCTTGTACTACAAATAAAGTTTAATAGATACAAAAAATGTTAAGCTAATCTTAAAATGCAATAATATCTACCCTAAAAGGCAAGTAACTATATTTCAAATATAGCCGAATATATACAGTATAACTAATGGACAAGGACATGTGACTATAAAGCAGCATTCAGTGCATAGGAGTATAAATAACTACAGTACCTGCATTATGTGATACCCACATTAAGTGAAGGACTGATAACCACAAGACGCAAGACATACCTCTTGACCGCCGTCCTGGGGGATGAGTGGGTGGCGGGGGTGGGGGTGTCTCGGGTCGGGGAGGACCATCTGTCTACATCATGCGTGGATAACGATGTTGTGTTACTGCTGTCTCGAGATGGAGACCGATTATAACTACCAAGGCAAGACGAGCCCTCTACATCACGTGCAGCTGATGACCTTTGGTTGGAGTCTAACGCACTGGTCGTCCTTGTGGGACTACTTCGGGAAGGGGACGACCACCTATTATTACCAAGGGACTGTGTGTCTGGATCCGCGGTGTCCCTTGCCGGACTGAGAGACGACCATCTATGACTATTTGAGTGATTGTCTTGATTAATATTATCTCTTAATGGGCTACTGCGAGATGGCGAAGACAATCTATGATTATTAAGTGACTTACTATCCAGATTTGCGTCATCTCTCGAGGGACTGCTACGAGCAGGCGAAGACCATCTGTGACTACCATACGACTGACTATCCTGATGGTTACTGTCCCTAGCTGGCGAGGACCAACTACGCGTGTCTCGGGAGGGCGATTCCCGAGTGGATGATGACCAATTGTGACCGTCTTTCGTGGCAGATTTCTGCACGAGAGAAGACCACGAAGGGGATTCACGTGTCGGAGTGTCAGCTAAGGTTTCCCTGGGTGATGATGACCACGATGGTTTCCTGAACAATGAAGAAGTAAGCCCAAGTGATGTACGCTCCGGAGACGCATTGCTTGAATTCTCCCAAGACCATCTACCCTCATTAGCCCTCCTCGGAGAAGGTGAACCAATCCCTTTGGATAAATAATCTCGCCCAGACAATCCATTACTCACGGACGAATATCCGTTTCCTACACTTGAACTCAACAACCCATGTTCCGGAGATTTCTCCCTAGAAAGGCGACCCTCCTCGTCCTCGAAAAGACCAAGGCTAAACTCAAAGTCCGGCGACTCCCTCCCAGTGCCCTCCGTCCTGATCGAGTCCGCCATGGACACCCCCATCCCGAGCCCCATCGCCCCGAGGCCAGAGCTCTTCTTGGAGGGGGAGGGGGACGAGGCGGCGGGCCCCATCAGCGCTTGCATCTGCAGTTCTGCTGCCGAGAAGGGGTCATAGGGGGTTTCCTCGGGTCTGCCAAGGAAGGACCAACCTGTCAGCCACTGGAGATGTGGAGTGAATGCATGCAAATACCCCCGACACACCGAACGTCTACTGGTGCAAGGGCTCACCGCCATCCCTCAATGTTTAGCATGCAATGATAAAATACCATATATATAAATTCGCTATGAAGAAGACCCAAAGCATCTATTGCATACACATAAATACTTCATCTGGTAAATATGTCTACTGTATGACAATTAAATACTGAAATTTATAACAGTTAAGAGCTATTGCAATTACTGTTCAAGAGCATGCAGATGTAAAAGCAAGAGCTGGATTAGTTCGACAGAGCATGCAAAGCTTGAAAGGAACAGAAAGATAACCCTTGCATGTATGGCATGGCAGGATAAGACCACATCTGCCTTCCCTATACAATTTAAAGTTTACCTTTTTTGGCCTCCTGATTTCGGAGGTCCAAGCTTTCTTGGCTTCGTTGTGGTCTGCAACGGACTCTTTTCTGATTTGTTATTGCAAAAACTCTGAGAATCGACCAGCGATTTGAACATCGCGTAATCCCTCCTGGAAATGATAACCCCGGCGTTGAGGGCGTTGAGGGCGCTGCCGTTGACGGGCACGAGCGTGACGCCGCCCCGCACGAGCCCGTTCTCCTTCTTGGGGCTCCGCGACCTCGACAGAGGCTTCCTCTCGGGGTCGCTGCCGCCGCTCACGCTCACTGGCTTTCTGCCTCTGTCCGAGTCGTGAGGGGACTTTTCCTTGGACCTCGAGCGCCCTTTCCGCTCCTGGGAATCCGTTCTTCCTCTCTCGTTGGAGGGAATTCTTCTCCGGCCGTCCTGCTCCGCGCTATCGCCAAACTCCTCCCTTTTCCGACGAAAAATCTCCCGCACGCTCTCCGTGTTGGCGCTCTTGACGTTGCTCAGCCTGCCCATCCCCGAGAACGGCAAGCCCTCCTGGGGGTCTTCTGGCCTCTTGGCGTGGGCCTCATGCTCCCAGGAGTCCATCAGTTCCACTTCCTTATCTTCCCTTATTCTATATTCGCCATTTTCCCACTTTTCGTCCTCGAAGTGCACGGACCTTGGCCTTCCGAAAGACGTCTCTATGACGTCATCGTCCCCGCTGACCGACGTGGAAGATTTGAGGAAATTCTCTTCGGTGGGAATGTCGAAGTCTTCCTCGCTGTCGTAGTTGTATTTCAGCTCCTCTAAGATCTCGTTATCACTCTCAACCTCGCAACCGTTTTCGTTCACTTTCGGGTCGTTAATGAACACGTCCTGAATCACAAAGTCACCGTTCGTATCGCACTTTGTTTTGCGACTCTTTTCTCTGATCTTCATATCGTTCTTTCTGTTATTCTCGATCTCACTTTCGGTCGCTGTTCTCCGAGGCGCCACATCACTCTCTTCAGGAATGGCGGAACTTCTCGACGCTTCGACCTTCCTTTCGTGTCTATCTTTGTTATTCTGTTCTGTCCTATTTCCTTTTCTTTTTTTCTGATTACTAATTTCTTTCTCGTCTTTACTGCTTTCATCAAGAAAGGGAAAGCACAGGAAGTAAAAGAGAAGGTATTAGTTATTAGTTAAACTACAAGGTAAGTCTTAAGTGCTATGAGGAATCATTAACGAGATAAGTGATGCTTTGAAAATTATAGGGAAATGTTAGTAGTTTCAGTAATTAATAACGTAATTAGTATATGTAACAAGAAATTAGTGTAATTACAATCTTACAGGCGTCAGATACATCGTGCAACAGTGAAATAGTGCACAGAGTTAGACCGTAAAAAGCAACATAGGAATGATAAAAAAAATACGTAAAACATCTGTTGCATCGATCATCATCGAATACGAAAATCTATAATATCTTTCTTTCCTTATTATCAAATCATATAAATTTTTCTTGTCTATCGTCCATATCACATCTCGACATCTTCTTATCTATCATATGCATCATCTCTTTCGATATTTGACCTATCCTATATACTCACCAACAAAATAAAACATTTACATACTTTTTATAATTATCCTCCCTTAAAAAGGAACAAGATGGCGGCGTCTCGTCTGCTTCGTCGCCCTCCGGTTCACCGCGTTTGGGATTGCCGCTGATACACACGCTGGCGAAAAGACAATTAAATCAAAGGTTGGATGGTTATTAGATTTTTAAGCACTTCGAACACTTCGCTACATACAAATATTCCCTCTACTTATAATTTTAGTCTCATTTTTAATCTCTCAGGCTCTCTTTCCTCTCCATTTCCATCTCTATCTGTATATCCATCTCCATCTCTAACATCCATCTCCATCTATCTCTAGCTCTCCACATCTCATTCTATCTCTATATTCATCTTAATATCCATTTCCATCTCTTTATCCTTCCCATCTCCATATCTTATATACATCATCATCTCTTTCTCCTTCTCCATCTCCATATCCATCTCTATCTCTATCTCCCTCTCTCCTATTCGCCCCCTTCCCTTTTCCCTTTCCCTTTCTCCCTCCCTTCCCTCTCCCTCTCCCTCTCCCTCCTCTCCTCTCCCTCCTCTCCCTCTCCCTCTCCCTCTCCTCTCCCTCTCCCTCTCCCTCTCCCTCTCCCTCTCCCTCCCCGCCCTGCTCTCACCTCGCCATCATATCGGAGGCGAGGTCGCGGTGTCGGGCCATGGTGCTGTTCCCGGCCGTGCGCCTCAAGGAAGACCTCAGCGAGCCCTGGCGGACGAGGGACGGGTTGCCGCCGGAGAAGGACGACCTGCCGACCTGCATTCGCGACAGGCCGTATCCGCCGCTGGACTGCCCGTAGCCCGACGATTGTCCGTAGCCTGACGATTGCCCGTAGCCTGACGATTGTCCGTAGCCCGACGACTGTCCGTAGCCCGAAGACTGTCCGTAGCCTGACGATTGTCCGTAGCCTGAGGACTGGCCGTAGCCGGAAGACTGGCCATAACCGGAGGACTGGCCGTAGCCCGAAGATTGGCCGTAGCGTGAGGACTGGCCGTAGCCCGAAGACTGGCCGTAGGAAGACCCATATCCTGAGCTGCACCCCGTCACTGCAATGTAGTAATCAATTAGTAATGAGGACCAACACATTACCTTTCGGAAGCACGAGTTTTCTGCTTAGATATATTCCGGACAGTATATCACGACACAATTCTTGGTACTTATTTTCTCACCTGATTCGTCTTCAGGTGGGGGAGCTTTTCAAAGAAATTTTTGAAGTAATTAGAACGACTCATTAGAACTATTGGATTCGTATTTTTTTAATGCCTAATATATGAAGAAATGCAATCATGCAATAAATCATATCTGCGCAAGCCATCGATCCAGGTTAGACTAACGAAACACAGGTATGTTAAAAAAAAAAATACATTTCAACGGCAGAATAGAACATATTACACCTTTTTTTTGATATATCAATACAAAAAAAAATGTGATTGCATATTTGTCATTAGCGTATACTAATACGAGGAAGGGATGACTAAATAATTTGTAATACCTATGTCCGGCAAAACCTGAAAATCAGTCACACTGCATCTCTGTTGTCTTCTCTCTCTCTCTCTCTCTCTCTCTCTCTCTCTCTCTCTCTCTCTCTCTCTCTCTCTCTCTCTCTCTCTCTTCTCTTCTCTCTCATCTCTCTCTTCTCTCTCTCTCTCCCTCTCTCTCTCTTCTCTCTCTCTCTACCCTCTCTCTCTACCCTCTATCTATCTCTCTCTATCTCTATCTCTCTATCTCTTTCTATCTCTCTATCTTCTCTACCCTTCTATCTATCTCTACCTCTATCTATCTCTACCCTCTATCTATCTACCTCTATCTATCTCTACCCTTCTATCTATCTCTATCTATCTACCTTCTATCTTCTCTTATCTATCTCTACCCTTCTATCTATCGTCTCTTCTATCTATCTATCTTCTATCTACTACCTTCTATCTATCTCTACCTTCTCTCTACCTTCTATCTATCTCTATTCTATCTATCTCTACCCTTTCTATCTATCTCCTCTATCTATCTCTACCCTTCTATCTATCTCTACCCTTCTATCTATCTCTACCCTATCTATCTATCTATCTCTACCCTTCTATCTATCTCTACCCTTCTATCTATCTCCTTACCTCTACTTCTATCTATCTCTATCTATCTCTACCTTCTATCTATCTATCTATCTATCTATCTCTATCTCTATCTCCCTCTATCTATCTCCCCTTCTATCTATCTCTACCCTCTATCTATCTCTACCCTCTATCTATCTCTACCCTCTATCTATCTCTACCCCTCTATCTACCCTACCCTCTATCTACCTCTACCCCTCTATCTACTCTCTCCCTCTATCTACTACCCCTCTATCTACCTCTACCCCTCTATCTACTCTACCCCTCTATCTACTCTACCCCTCTATCTATCTCTACCCCTCTACTATCTCTACCCCTCTATCTATCTACTATCTATCTCTACCCCTCTATCTATCTCTACCCTCTATCTATCTCTACCTCTCTATCTCCCTCTATCTCTACCCCTCTATCTATCTCTACCCTCTATCTATCTCTACCCTCTATATCCTCTACCCTCTATCTAATCTCTACCCCTCTATCTATCTCTACCCCTCTATCTACTCTCTACCCTCTATCTACTCTACCCCTCTATCTCTACCCCTCTATCTATCTCTACCCTCTATCTATCTATCTATCTATCTCTACTACCCTACTCTATCTATCTCTACCCCTCTACTCTACCCTCTATTATCTCTCCCCTCTATTCTATCTCTACCCTCTATCTATCTCTACCCCTCTATCTATCTCTACCCTATCTCTATCTATCTATCTCTACCCCTCTATCTCTATCCCCTCTATCTATCTCTACCCCTCTATCTATCTCTACCCTCTATTATCTCTACCCTCTATCTATCTACCTCTATCTATCTCTACCCTCTATCTATCTCTACTCTACCTCTATCTATCTCTACCTCTACTCTATCTACCCATCTATCTCTACCCTTCTCTATCTATCTCCTCTATCTATCTCTCCTCTATCCTATCATCCCTCTCACCCTCTCTCACTCTCTCCTCCTCTCTCTCTATCATCTCCCTTTCTCTCCCCTCCCTCATCCTCACCCTCCTCATCTCTCCCCTCCTCATCCTCACCCTCCCCTCACCCTCCCCCTCTCCCTCCTCATCCTCATCCCTCTCCTCCCTCCCTCATCTCCTCACCTTCTCTCCCCCTCCCTCATCCTCACCCTCTCCCCCTCCTTCATCCTCCCCCTCTCCCCCTCCTCCTCCCCCCCTCTCCCTCTCCCTCTCTCACCTGACTTAAGGAGAGCTGAAAACTGCTTGCCAGCGGAGCGTCCAAGAGACATGGATCCCGAGCGCCCCAAGGAGGACACGGAGGAGGTGGAGGTCCTGCGGGAGGAGTGGTGCATGGGCGGGGGGCTCATGTGTCGACCTGAAGGAGGTGGGCGCTTGTGAGGAGAAGTATAATATGGTCGGATACGGGTGCGTTATTCCTCATGCGGAAATATACGCAAATGGGTATCAAATTTAAACACGTGGGTGCGTACATGCATACTTAGGTACATATTTCTCACATAGGCATATATCCACGTGGGCACGTAAACACGTATGTACAAACACACATACACAAGGGAATATAAGAGCACACAAGGGCACATACACACACGTGGGTACATACATACATATTTCTCACATAGGCCCATATCCACGTGGGCACATGCACACGTATACACAAACACAAGTAAACAAGGGAATAAAAGCGCACACAATGGAAATACACACACGGACACCAAGTCACGCTCAAGCGGCCCCCAGCGACCACCCACCTGTAGGTATGGGCGGGCTGGTATGTCGCCCCAGGGATCTCGTTGGACTCGTCTGCCGGCCGCTGAGGGGCGGACTCAGCTCTCTCATGCCCAGAGGCAAGGGCGTGGGCGTTGGGCCAGAGCTGGGAGGCGGGATGGACGATATAACATCGCTTTTCTTCGGTGCTCGCCATCCGTTCTGCCCAGGCTTCGGGGGCACGTACTGGAACGCAAGAAAACGTTGATTCACTTTGCTGGGGAAGTGTACGTGAAATTGGAGAAATTAGCTCTTCGTTAAATAATATCTATCTTATTATTAGATCAGCTCTTCGTAAAGTAATATCTATCTTATTATCAAATTAGCTCTTCGTTAAATAATATCTACCATTACTAAATTAGCTCTTCGTTGAATAATATCTAAATATCTGATATCGGACACTTAAATTTGTCTACTGATATATGAACAGATAAACTAACCTACGTAGAGATAGGAGGAAAAATATGTAACCAAACATGAATTGGAAAATCCAGATATATATGCAGATAGTCGTCATAAATAACAACAGAAAAAACTGGAACACGCGCAGACAGACACCTAATAGGGTTAAGACAGAGACAGACAACCGCATTTTGAAAGAAAGAGGGAGAGGGGGAGGGAAAGGTGGCCAGACGATCAGCCACGCAAACAAAAAGAAAAGAGTAAAAAAAAAAAAAAAAGGCCGGAAAAAAGAACCCCGTGACGTGTGCGTGACGCCTCCTGTCATGCCTGCGATTTCTTCTAAGTCAGTCAAACTACATCTCTCTCTCTCTCTCTCTCTCTATCTATCTCTCTCTCTCTCTCTCTCTCGCTCTTTCTCTCTCTCTCTCGCTCTATCTGTCTCTCTCTCGCTCTCTGTCTCTGTCTCTCTCCAATCTCTTTCTCTCTCTCTCTCAGACGCAGGATATCGAGGGCCGTTTCTCGCCGTACCCTTTGACCTCCTCGCCCGCCTTTGCATGCTGACCGCTTCCTCCTGAACCGCTGTTCCAAATCAGCGACATTTCCTCATGGCGGGACCGTTCGATTTCTTTTCTTTTCTTTTCTTTTCACCCGTTTGGTTCCGTGTGGTTAATAGTTCATCCACTCCACCTACCATGGATATCAATCTATTATCTATTGGTATATAACAATTTCGATATATTTCAGTGTATTTGTAGTATTTCCTCATTGGTTTTCACTCATTTGTTTACCTTTCAGAAACGCAAAGATATAGACCCATGTCGTACAAACGTAATGAATGAAAATAACGTAAACATAACATCCTCTTCCGCCATCCGAATCCTCTGCCAGACGATCTAAATGACGGAGTGTGGAAAAAAGTCGCCCCACACATTTCGCTGCTTCTTCGTGCATCGTTATACAAGAGGGGAAAAGAGGGGAAAAGTTTTGTTCTCTGTTCGTCGCGGGTTATTTGAGGGATGCGGTGAGGAGAAGGGGAGTGAGGGAAGAGAAGAAGGGGAAGGAAGAAGAGAAGAAGGGGAGTGAGGATAGGATAGATATACATGTGAAGAGAAGAAATGGAAAGAGGAAGAGAAGAAGAGGAAGGAAGGAGAGAAGAAGGGGAAGGAGGGAAAGGAAGAGACGAAGAGGAGAAAACATGAGCGAAGAGGAAGAAAGGAGTCGAAGGAGGGAAGACGAAAGGCGAAGAGGGAGAAAGCTTAAGCGAAGAGGAAGAAAAAAGAAACGAAGAAGGGAAGAGGAGAGACGAAAAGGGAGAAAGCATGGACAAAGAGTGAGAAAGGAGAATCGAACAGCGAGAAAGTCGGAGCACAGAGAGAAAGAAGAGATCAAAGAGAGAGAACGAGAAGCTAAAGAGGGAGAGACGAAAGAGAGAAAGAAAGAAGCGGAAGGAGAAGGAGAAAAGAAAGAGAAAAAGAATGAGGAAAGAGGAAGGGGGACTATGACGGGAAGGGGAAATGGGGGGGGGGGGCATCACGCAAGTAAGTTTGTTCCGGTGATTTCAGCATAGGCCTACCAGACAGCGAAGGCCTATAAACCAAGGAATAATGAATCCTTAAAGAATATCTGCAGTCACGAAACATTTTTTTTAATATTCTCATCGTTTCATAACTGCAAGAGAAGATGCAACATAAGAGACATTCTTTTTTTTTCTATCGTTTTATAATTACAAGAGACGCTGCAACATAACCGACAATACTCTCTTTTTTTGTTATGTATTCCTATCGTTTCATAACTGCAAGAAATGCTGCGACATAACCGACAAAACTTTTTTCTTTTTTGTTATGTGTTCCTATCGTTTCATAACTGCAACAGATATTGCAACATGAGACAAATCTTTTCTTCTTTTTTGTAATTTGTTCCTATCGCTTCATAACTTTTCTTCATAAAAGGCCAGATTTGCTTGCCAATTCACATCCTCCGGAGCCTAGTTTTATCCACCATTACATACAAAATCCATATCTTAAATGCCACTGCGTCGACCTGTAACTAGGCTTTGGCTATAAGACGACAAGTAACCGGTTTTGAATATAACAAATTTGCGAATACAAAGAATCTGCTAGAGAATAAGAAAGAATATGCAACATTAACATCGAACATGATGCGTGAACATATCTCAAAACATAAACCCCCTGTAAAAGAAGTCTTGTATTTACAAGTCTAGAGCGATAGATAGACAGATAGATAATTGGTTTTGAATATAACAAATTTGCGAATACAAAGAATCTGCTAGAGAATAAGAAAGAATATGCAACATTAACATCGAACATGATGCGTGAACATATCTCAAAACATAAACCCCCTGTAAAAGAAAGACAGACAGAAAGAAAAACGAAAAAGGAAAAATACATACATACAATACATAAACCACCACGACCTCCTCCTCGAAAAGCCAAGTGACAGAAGCAACGCACACTTATCCTCCGCCGCGCTAAGAAGATCCTAATCTCCAAGAAGACAGAGCCGCGCGCCCTCTGCTGCAACCCCCCCTCCCCCTTCCCCGTGGCCTAGAAAGCACCTAGGGGAATGGTTCTGGGGGGGGGGCGGCCAGGTGAGAAGATGCCGAGCGATAATCCGTGGGATCTAACGTAAATCATTTTCCTTTGCTATTTTTTTCTATTTTTATTTTTCATCTTTATTTATGTATTTGTTTAATTATTTATTCATTTTGTTTTTGTTTGATATGTTAAAGCAGGAAGAGACATTGGGAAACATATCAACGCAACCACATATTGTATAAGTATAAGAACGTATGTACACGCAAGCAAGCGTGCAAGCATACACGCATGCACACAAAAACTTTCTGTGTCTCTGTCTGTCTGTCTGTCTGTCTGTCTTTCTCTTTCTCTTTCTCTCTCTCAGTATCAGTCTCTGTCTGTCCCTCAGTCTCTGTCACTCACTCCCTCAGTCACTCACCCACACATTCAAACAGCAACCAACACAAATAACGAAATGCCTGTCACATGACCCAATCATAACCCGAGGGACATTTCTCCACTGGTTTCGAGTGGAAAAGGAGCATTGCATACCTAGGAAAACCGCATTCTTGGGGACAGACCCAGTTTAACTTTGGATTTTTCTCAGATGTGGATTTATTAGTAATAAAATGATAAATGTGATGGTAATAAAATGATAAATGCATTATGTAATTTCTAATACAGGAGCTTTTACATGTACGTACGCTGTTTGTACACTGTATGATTCTGTTGATTTCGTAATGTGAGCAGTGTGATTGTATTTTTTTATTATTATCATTATACATATCGATCGAAATAATTGCAAAAGTAATACCAATAATATGGCTATGGCTGATAAGAATAGGAATGGGACGAGGAATAGGAATAAGAAGAATAAGAATCAGAAGAAAATATCTTGCTTTCAAACATTACACATTAAATTACGATATTTATTAGGGTAAGATCAAATAACATCAGAACCGCAGAAGTGTGCGTGACAAACGAATACACGAAAGACACGTACGTATTTCTTAGCCTCAGGACCAGGCACTAGATTTAAGGTTACGTGGAAATAAGAACAACCTAATAACATCCCTTGTACTACATTCCCTCGTTAGTATCTCGAAAAGAATCTCGGGTTGTTTGTCAGAAGATGTTGCATGTCAGCCGAAACGGGGTTTATGCTGCAGTAAATGATGCATAATGAATTTTAAAAAGAAAATGCCTTAGAGAAAAACTGTGCGTAAAAACATTAACTACTTCTTCCTTCTCGAACGCGACGATCATGAATGGTATGCGAACGCGACCCGAATGTAAACATCACGCGTGGCTTCGGCAGACTTCGTAACGAGAGGCGGCAGTGTGCAGCGGTCCGTGGTGTCCACCCTGGAAGGTATGCATGAACAATGAAGTCGCCAAATATACTGCATAGCCTGATCTACGACTGTCCTCAAGGTCACGGTCGTATCCATGACATTGACGCAGGTGTCATATCGAATACGTGAATGATTGGCATTTTTTATTTAGACTTTCCTCGTGCACAGCCACTCGGATTTAGGATAAATATTTTTCTCTCGCGTGGCCGTTGCTCCGCAGTTGGTTTCGCTGAAGCTGGCGCGTAAAAAAGACGGGAATCGGACCAAACCTTTGTTCTCTAGGGAGCTCCGTGGCTTCATCGCAGATTAGACTCCACTGACTTAGATACTCTTCTAATTAGGCGGTTCTTTATCCTCTCATTTGGTCAGATTAGACGGCGTTATTAAACAGGAGGTTCGCCCATAAACCTGGCGTGTGGGTGTAATCTGGCCATTGCGCGGGTGACGCAGGACGACCTACGTGGGCGAGGCGCCGCGGGATCGCACTGCCCGCCCGCACGACAGCCAATCTCGGCGAGGCGGCGGTACTCCTTTTAACAGGGGCTTTACACCAGGGGGGAGTCCAACGCAGGTATAATATGTGTAATGTCTAACCGCAGGTGGCTCGACTGAAAGACACGCCCACACACACGCGCGCGCATTCCTACACATACACACACCAAACACCCATACACATGCAGAAACATTCATATGTGTGTGTGTGTGTATGTGTGTGTGTGGTGTGTGTGTGTGTGTGTGTGTGTGTGTGTGTGTGTGTGGTGTGTGTGTGTGTGTGTGTGTGTGTGTGTGTGTGTGTGTGTGTATGTGTGTGTGTGTGTGTGTGTGTGTGTGTGTGTGTGTGTGTGTGTGTGTGTGTGTGTGTGTGTGTGTGTGTGTGTGTGTGTGTGTGTGTGTGTGTGTGTGTGTGTGTGTGTGTGTGCTGAAGGAATGGGGGAGAGTATCAGAGAGAGCAAAACATTCCAAACCCTGTACAGCATATAAAGATCGACGTGACAAAGTATATTCTTAAATGCGGCATCGGATGTCAAGTTCGAGAGACACAAAAGGGATCAAGTAGGACCCTTCCAGCTTCGAGCGAAACCAGCGGTTGTCATCAGCGGTTGTCATCGGAAAGGATTCCATAACCTTTCCTGTTTGCGCCACGAGACTCGTTTGTGAGGACAGGACTGAAACAAACGTCGCAGAAGACCTGGCTGATCATATAACATTCAGAGACACACTCGGTTCCTATTATTTGCTTCACATATTTTTTTTTCTTAGCGATCGTTATATCGATTATCAGCTGATATTGTGAAGGTCACTGGGTTGCCTGAACTTGTCAACACAGGTCATGGCAACTCGCGCGTCCTGTGACACGGGCTTTAAAACTGCAGAAATGTGTTCGATTTGCCGCAAGTCTCCTCGGCGGTAGTTCCTCATCTCTTTGTATCACCTCTTTAGTCATTCTGAATGTGCGCAGAGGCAGCGTTAGTCTCATTACTGCGGCGTCGATGTGGTGAATATATCGGAAATACTTCTCACTGAGAAAATTACTGATCACAGACCATAATCTTATCGACTGCAGAATATGTATGCCTATATACATATGTATGTAATCTTTCTACCTTTCTATCTATATACATATTTATATACCTGGATAAGCATATATGCAATATACATATATATGTATATATAATATATATGTATATATATATATATATATATTATATA